ACATACAAGCATATGCTACATATACATACCGATATGTATATGTGTCTGTACACATACCTATGTGTATATACATATATATATATATATATGCACTCATATGGATTGGCCACATAGTATCAAGCCCTCCCGAGGCGTCTGGAGACGCTGTTGGCCGTCCTGGGCCGTCTGGGGCCGTCGAAAGCTCTTCTGGGCTTAGCGAGAACATATTGGTTCTCCGGTGGGCAAGTTCTTCCGCCGTCTTTGCGATCGCTCCGGCCGCGTTGGGCTGCCCTGGGACTGCCCTGGGCTGCGTTGAGACCTTCTGAACGCCCTTACGGCGCCCTGCAATTCAACACATCCGGCATGTTCCTACCCTGTGCTGGACTATATTTCCATGTGTGGTAGTTTCTGCCCGTGAGGCTAGACCAGAGGACGCAACTCACGAAGCAATGTCCGAAGAAATCAATCCGCCGACCCTGTCGGCGTGAGAGGCTTTTCCGTTTGAGTCGTCGTTGTCGTCGCCGCCGCTCCCCCTCAAGCTTTCCAGCCAGAGGGGAATCGAGCAACGTCATAACCGAGTCGGAATGAAACCCTCTTTCTTCAATCCCTCCCCCGCCGGGTGGGGGGTGGGGAGGGTCGCAAGGATTGTGACGCCCCCCCCCTGCCCGGGGAGGAACGCTCCTCCCTGAGAGAAACATTTCAGCTCCAGAGTGTCGGCGTCGTCGTCACCGATATCGTCGCAAGATGTATCTCTTCCAACCGAGATGCATAATTATACATGTGTATATGCGTGCGTATACGAGTTATCCAGCGCGGACCCCAAGCAGTGTGTTTCTAGCCATTTGTGTTGTGAAGTCGATCTAGAGCAAACTACGCGGTGCATTATATCTTCTGCAGTTAAATTGTGCACTATATGATGTGCAACCCATGCTCTGCAGCGGGTGGTGCGCTACATGAAGTAGAATACGTGATATCAAATATATGTGGGCAACCTATGTGATGCAATCTATGTTGAGCCATATACGGTGTACAATCATTGCTGTGCACCCTATGTGGTGCGATCGTTGTGATGCAACCAGTGTAACCTACTCAGTGTGGAGGAAGGCATGTTGTGCAATGAGCTGTGCAGTGTATGATGTGCTTCTGCGAGCTGCAATGAATGGTGCAACATATGTGTTGAAATCCACGTGATACAATATATGCAGGGCAATCTGTGTGGTACAATCTGGGCTACGCCATCTATGGTCTGCAACATAGGTGGTGCGATCTACGGGGTACAGTCTCTGTTGTGCAATATATGTGGGACAGTCTATGTGGTGCAGTATATGTGATGCAATCTATCGTGTGCGATCTATAATATTAAAGTGTGCTGTGCATTGCTATATGTGGTCAATCGTTGTGGTGCACTCAGAAAACTCAATATAGGTTGCGCGATCTACGTGGTGCTTTTTGATGAAGCCTGCGTGGTGAGATCTAGTCCGTGCAACAAGAATTAACCAATATCTGTTGCGCAATCTGTGTGGGGCGGCGACGGCGGCCACAAAGCCGCCAACCCGAAGACACGGCAAAGACAAAGGGCGGCGACGAGGTCGCGACGGGGCGGCGACGGCGGCCACATAACCAGCAGACCAATGAGGCGGCGACGGGGCGGCGACGCTGGCGACACAACCGCGAGACCGAAGACACGGCCCAGTTCTTTGGAACAGAAGTGAGAAGCCCTAAGTGCAAGCACGGTTTGGAAAATCTACATATGTGTACACAAATATGCCCTGACGTGCATCACCAACGGGCTATTCATCAAGCACCCGCCTCAATCACGAAATGTGCGCCAACATCAGACTAACGATCTACCTGAATACCCTTGCTCGTGACCAGCGTCTACCAATTTGGTTGATTCGACGAGACATGTAGCGTTCCAAGAATCGACGACGTCGGTATACTGCATACACTCTCCATCTACATTAGATACCAACCACGGTAGACTATAACAATGCATGCCCACCCAAGAGAAATAACGACCATGTATCCCCTGCAAAGTGTATCTCGAAGGTCGCCTAAGTGCCTGCCACATGTCAATATGTGACCTGATGAATGTCACTCGTTCTATGTATACAAGTGTGAAACTACACATACGACTACAACTATTGGAGGCCTGGACATTGGCACCACCACCAGCACAGGTGGGTGCCTCCACATGGGGAAGATGATCCTAGATTTCGGTGTTGGTGGTAAGAGTTCGGTCACCTTGGAAGCCAGAATATTACCACCATCACCGAGATCGGAATCGCCTTCTCGGTGGAGGCACACTGCCGATCCTGTTGTTGGTGACAACCTCTAGGCCTGCGAAACTATACACCTACATCCACATTCGCAGAACATCCGCACGGGACAACCACGAGCCAAATGCACGGCGTGGATCCGTTGGCCAGGGGGGGGTGGGGCGAGGCGGCCGACTGAGGAGGCGACCCGAGACAGGAAGGGGGCTACTGGACCGGATGGCGTCCCGCGGTGCCCCCAGAAAACAGTCGGCGGCGCGCCGAACAGGGCACCGAGAGGGGGCAGGCCTCCTCCAAGGCGACGGGCCTCCTCGGAAGCCCCCCCCGGCCTTCCGAGAAGCCCCCCGTGGGCTCGGAGCGCAGGCTCGGCCCCCTCGGCCTCCGCCCGCCCCTACCACCCCGCCCCCCGCCCCCAAGTCCGTGCCTCAAGCCCACTCCTCCACCTCCCCCTCCTCCTCCTCCTCCTCCTCCTCCTCCTCCTCTTCCTCCTCCTCCTCTCCTCCTCCTCCTCCTCCTCCTCCTCCTCCTCCTTCTCCTCCGCCCGCCTCCTCCCCCTCCTCTTCCTCCTCCTCCTCCTCTTCCTCCTCCTCCTCCTCCTCCTCCTCCTCCTCCTCCTCATCCCCCTCCTCCTCCTCCTCCTCCTCCTCCTCCTCCTCCTCCTTCCTTCCTGCCTTCTGAAGAGGCCCCCGCCCCGCTCTGCCTCCCTCCCCCCCCCGTGGGGCACGCCGCCGAGGGGCGCAATGCGGCCTGGGACAGGGGAACCGCCTTCAAGAACGCGAGACCCTCCGTCGGCCAAGAAAAGCACACAACATCCGAAGGTCCCCCCAACCTCCCCAGGATGCACAAGAACATCCAAGAAGAACAAAGGACATTACCGCACCCTCTCCGAGCCGACCTCGGTCTGATACTTCGGTCCAACTGTACCAATACCGCTACTCCCCGGACCTCTCCCAGGGTGCGTTCTGATAAGGACTTCGAGGCGAACCCAGCGGCGGCGACGAGGGCCTCTCAGGAGGCCCAAAGAGGCGATCAAACACGCGGGTGAGGGTGGAGACGGGAGGAGGGAGAGGAGGGGGGGAAGGAGGAGGGAGGAGGAGGAGGAGGAGGGGAGGAGGAGGAGGGGGAGGAGGAGGAGGGGGAGGTGGAGGAGGAGGAGAGGAGGAGGAAGGAGGAGAGGAGGCGGAGGAGGAGGAGGAGGAGGAGGAGGAGGAGGAGGAGGAGGAGGAGGAGGAGGAGGAGGAGGAGGGGAGGAGGAGGAGGAGGAGGAGGAGGAGGAGGAGGAGGAGGAGGAGGAGGAGGAGGAGGAGGGAGGAGGAGGAGGAGGAGGAGAGGAGGGAGGAGGAGGAGGAGGAGGAGGGGGGGAGGAGGAGGAGGGGGGAGGAGGAGAGGAGGAGGGGGAGGAGGAGGAAGAGGGAGGAGGAGGAGGAGGACGAGGAGGAGGGGGAGGAGGAGGGGGAGGGAGGAAGAGGAGGAGGAGGAGGGGAGGAGGAGGAGGGAGGAGGGGGAGGAGGGGGAGGAGGGGGGAGGAGGAGGAAGAGGAGGAGGAGGAGAGAGGAGGAGGAGGAGGAGGAGGAGGAGGAGGAGGAGGTGTGCGAGGAGTGCCCCTTCAAAACGAGGACTCAACAGCAGGCTGGTTTGGAAAAACTGTGAATATCCTCCTCGGCCCGACGGTGGGGCCCCGGGCAGGCGCAGCCGGCGCAGCTGGCGAACGGCGGAGGGCGGAGCAGCGAGGGCACCCGGCCGGGGGCGGCGGGCCGCAGGCTTCGGGGGGCCAGAAGGGCGAGAGGGAGCGGGGGGAGGAGCGCGGAGGGGCGCGGAGGGAGGAGGGGCGCGAGGGAGGGGCGCGAGGGAGGAGGACGCAGAAGGCAGAACTAGGGACGCGAGGGAGGAGGCCGGAGGAAGAGGAGAGAGAACTCTGCACGTGCACCGGCTCTGGCCAGGCCCCTCCTGGGCCCAAGATCGGTGCATGTGCGCCCTCCTGCCATGGCCAGGAAAGTTGGGAACCCCCAAACCGGGTGGTGAGATACCAGGTGGCGACCTGGAATCCCAAAAAAGGTCACCGCTGGGTTTGGGGACACGGGGTCACCACCGGGTTTTGTGACTCCTGGACCCACCAGTGTTCGGGACATCCTCGGAAAACCGCACGAGTCCCTAAACCGGGTGGTGACACCAAATCGCCCGAGACTCACCGCCAGGTGTTGTCACCACCAAGTTTGGGGACTACCAAGGAAGGCGTGTGCAACGATCCCAGGCCCGGGAGGGGCCTGGCCGAGGTCGGTGCACGCGCACAGTTCTCGTCGCCTGAGGAGGAGCAGGCGGCGCGAGGGGCGCGGAGGCGGGAGGGGCGCGGAGAGAGGAGGGAAGGACTGCGCGAGGCCCCCCAGGGGGAGGGGCGGGGGGGAGGGGCGGTGGGGGGGGAGGCGGGCGCCGCAGAGCGACTGAGAGCGGGGCAGAGCGTCCACTGGCAAACTGAGATCCCATGGGGGCGCCCTGGCGCCCAACAAGCGGTCGTGGGCTACGTTTGGGTCCGGACATTTCAGTTCCCCTCCCCGCCGCTCCCGAAAACTGGCGACAGCGACGGCTGAGGCTGAGACAGGAAACGTTACAGCTGCCCCACCACTGAACATGATGTTTGTTTGAGTACGGGCATGGGGGCATGGGTGACTGGGCTTCAACTGCTAGGTGGCTCACAACATTTCGAAGACTCGAGCCCCTCCACGGACCCCATGGTGCGATTCTGCAAGCCTCCAGCACTGCAGCGAAGTTGTCCAGCTCTGCTCCCGCCTGCGTGACGCGAGCTCGCGCCGCATGTCGAGTCACGGAGTAAGATGAACACGTGGACACGAATCCTCTAGCACACACAGAGAGCATGACGGGCTTGCCCCAATTGCGCTGCAACACTGGGCGCAGACAATGGCATGTGGCATGTGTATTCAGATGTGCGTCGCCCCCATCAGATTGCATGTGGACTAAGGTGCAAAGAAAAATTACGCCCCCCTGGGGCGAACAGAACATGCAATACCCGCAGGACGTCCGAAACTACCTGAGGACGGGCTGAATGGGCAAGGATGCAACGAGCCCTTGCATGAACACTCGGTCCTTATGTTACCCGCTACCTTGCCGTGGGCATTGAGTGGAATGACCGCATGTCCCTTCGAATTCTCTACACTGAGGATGTAGATCCTCTTTGCATGCCCCAGGCCACAGATGTACATTATGGTTTGGCGTTTGAAGCGCTATGGCGTCTCAGGTCGAGACTTTTGGACAGCCTCGGGAACGCGCTTCGGAATTCAACAAATATGTGGCCCCATGGGGGCGTCCTGTAGCCCTCTGTAGGTCCTCTTGGGTCGTCTTGGAAGCTCTGGACGGCCAGCCCAAGAGGCAAATATCAAACAACACATATGTTGTGCGATGTTTATTTACTCACCGATTCGGTCTGAAGCGCGTCCGACACGGCTCAAGTATGGCCCAAGATCTCTCCCAACCTCGAGCTACCAGCAGGAGCCCATGGGGCAACCAAGAGGGCCGCACCCTTGCGGCCCTCATTTCTTCTTTTTTTTTTAAAAAAAAAAGAAATGTATGCACTTCTCGATTTGCGCGTGTCATCCTTGCGCAGGGGCCATGAATCTTCTCTGTATCGTTCCAAGTTTTTAACGGATGATCCCCGAAGGGGAACCGCACTCTTTGCGGCCCTCTTGGTAGCCTCTGGGGAGCTCGAAAGGCGCCCAAGAGCCCCCAGGAGGTCCCCAAGCAGCCTCCGAGAGGCCTTCAAGCCGCACTCCAAGATTCAAGAGGCGCCTGCTGTCCTCTCCTAGGCCCGGGCACGGCGGCGGGATCCGCCGCCACCTAGTGGGCAGAAGGCCACTCGATCCGCCGCCCCCCGTTGGCTTACCACAGGGGCAGACGGCGTGCCAAAGTTTCGATAGCCTGTTGCTTGCTTTTGACATGTTCTGTGAGATCCACGGCCCAATGCGCGGGCACGCAGTAAGGATCCGTACGCCTCCCAGGTCGCCAGTCTTCCCACCCCAGACGGCCGAAGACGGCCTCCAAGACGGCGGCGCCCAGGAGGCCCCAACAGCTCCCAAGAGGCCTCCTCCTCCTCCTCCTCATCCTCCTCCTCCTCCTCCTCCTCCTCCTCCTCCAAAGGCGCCCAACTTCGCGCTTCGCGCTGCGCGAAGCGGGAAATGCGAATGACTTCGCGCTCTCGCGCCGACCCCCCTGGGGAGAAGAGACGAATGAGGAGAGATCGGAGCCGAACCGCGACGCGCGGAGCGCGAATGACTTCGCGCCCACGAGGGCGCCCTTGCTCCTCCTCGTTCCTCCTCCTCCTCCTCCTCGTTCCTGCCTGTCTTCCTTTCCCTCTTACTCCTCCATCCCCAAAGGGTCAATTAACCCCAAGCTGCTGCGGCTGGGGAGAACACGCAGTCCGATGGCGTGGCCGAGCCCTGGCCACAGCTTTCGGCCACAACGGCAGGGAGCGGCGGCGATTCGCAATGTAGGAAGCCCATATACCTATATGTATGTATATATATATACATATAGGGCGCCCAACCACGTGCATGAACACGAGCACGGGCCCCCAATCCGCGTGAGCAGCCTCGCGTTACAAACGTTCGCGCGATGCGTACTTTCGAAAACACCGTGAGTACACCGGACTCACTTCTATAGCGCTCACGTCTATAGTGCTCACTTTGAAATTGTGGTCCGGAAGGGGCCGCACATGCAGGAACATGCCGCACAGTCGCATGCACATGCCCATGCAAATATACAAAAGCCTCAACAACATTACCGCACATGCGCGCACATGCCACACCGTCCGACGCACAGTCGACTGCACGGTCAAGGAACTCCGAAAGCATAGACGCACATGCCCGCACATGCCGCAGAGATGTCGCAGGCGATAGTGGCCTGACCACCTGAGCTCGGGGCATTTCGCAACCCAGAGTTGCGAGGATGTCTCAGGCAAGCGTGGCCGGACCACCATGGGGCAGGGCATCTTGGAAACCAGAGTGGCGAGGATGTCGCTGGTCAAGGTGACCAGACGACCATGGGGCAGGACACCTCCGAGGTCTGAGTTGTGAGGATGTCTCAGGCGAAAGTGGCCTGACCAACATGGGGCAAGAGATCTCTGAGGTCAGAGTTGCGAGGATGTCTCTGGCGAGAGTGGTCTGACCACCTCAGCCCAGGGCGTCTCGGAACCAAGAGTTGCGAGGATGTCTCAGGCAGGAGTGGCCTGACCACCTGCTCAGGGCATCTCGGAACCCAGAGTTGCGAGGGTCTCAGGCGAAAAGGCCGAGACACTATGGAGCAGGGCATCATTAAGGTCAGAATGGCGAACGCTGCGTCCGCGCGCGGCTTGCGCGCGGACGCGAACGCGCCGGCGCCCAGAAACGAACGCCGGCCCCGACATTCTTGCACGTCCCGCACATGCCCCGCACAGGTACGCACAGTATTCGCACAGGCCGAGCTCGCCAGTGGCCGAGCCAGGCCAGCGATTCCGAGATTCCCTGAGCTCGGGCCGTCAAGCCACTTTCGCCTGAGACATCCTCGCAACTCTCACCTCCTCCTCCTCCTCCTCCTCCTCCTCCTCCTCCTCCTCCTCCTCCTCCTCCTCCTCCTCCTCCTCCTCCTCCTCCTCCTTGTCCTCTGGCCGAGCCGAACAGGCGGGCGGGCCGGCCGAACCGGGGGCGTCCGCCTCCTCCGTCCCCCTCCTCCCCCCCCCCTCCCCCCCCCCCCCCCCTTCCCCCCCCCCCATCCACCTCCCCCCCCCGCCCCTGCTTCTCCGGCCGAGCTGACAAGGCGCGCGGGAGTGTTTTACTAGGAGGGCACGCCACCGCCAGCTCACGAACCGGGCGAAGAACCGCCTCCGCCAGCAGCGAGCGAGTTTTAACGCACAACAAACTCCTTCAGGAAGCCCTGGCACGCCCCAGGTTAGCTCTGCGAAGGCCAGGAGGCATTGGAGGCACAGGGGTCCCAGACAGCTCCTAGGGCATGAGCGTGCGCGTGCAATGGGATGCGCACGCATGTGCGCCCGCGCGCTTCACCGCATGTGCGTGCATGTGCGGGCCCGCGCGGCCTCCCGAAGAGAGGTTGCAAAGGCATGTGCGTGCATGTGCCGATGGCAGATCTGCGATTCTCGAACGCCTCCCGCATGTGCAGGCATGTGCGCGCATGTGCGTCGGACTGTGCGTGCATGTGCGTATGATGGATACACCAAAACACAGTGCACATGCCCCCGCACATGCCCGGGCACGACGTGCACAGTAGGAAGTCCATCCAAGAAGGGCCGCACAGGCCTGGCACATGACTGGCACATGCTGCGCACATGCGCGCACATGACAGCGCCAAAACGGCCGCACATACACCCACCCAGAAGTATAGATGTGAATGTGGTGTACATGTACGACGTCATTCCTCCGCTCTGGACAAGAGGCGTCTTCGACCCCCTGTCCCCTGCTGTCTTATCCAACGGGCGCCTGGCCCACCCAGAAACACTGGGCGACCGGGAAGCAAGGCCTGAATCGCCCAAGGATGGCCAGGATGACAAGATGTCCAAAAAACGCCCTCCAAAAATGCCTCCACGACAGCCTAGATGGCCCAAGATGGCATCCAAGACGGTCCCAAGACGCCTCCAAAACGGTCATGATGGCCGCAAGACTGCCCAAGATGTCTTCCAGACGGCCCAAAGGCCCCCAAGACGCCCCAAGAGAAACCGTTTCCGCCTTCTCGCCGGTTGGTTCTGGCTTCCGCCGCTCCAAGACGGCAGCATGGGCCTTCAAGATTGCCCCGACACGGCCGAAAAGGCCCCCCAAGGGGACCCAAGACTGCCCGGAGAGGGCCCCGAGAGGGCCTCCGAAGGCCTCACGGTCCCCTAGAGGCCCCGAAAGCCCCAAGAGGCCCCCAAGAGGCACCAGGAGGCCAACCATAGGCTCCAGGGCGCCCCCAGAAGGCCCAGCAAAGGCCCCCAAGTGGCTCCCAGGAAGCTCAAGGAGGCCCTAAGAGGGCCTCAAATAGCCTCCTGTATCTACTCCTCCTCCTCCTCCTCCTCCTCCTCCTCCTCGCTAGATGGGGCAGGGAAATAAGCCCAAACCGAAAGAAGCAAAAAACTGGAATCGCGCAATTGACTCATGCAAGGGAGGGAAGAGTGGGCGCGACGAGGAGGAGGAGGAGGAGAAGGAGGAGGAGGAGGAGTGCCCTGCATGGCCCACCAGCTGAGGGAGGTGATCGTACGCAGCCACATGCACCCAGCACCAATGACTTCCGCCTGTCCCTGCATGATGCCGCAAGGGAGGACTCCAGGGAGATGCTGGGCGCTGCGGAGCTCGACCTGATCACTACTGGCGCCTGGAAGGGGCCCCGGCTGGGAAAAGTCTGGGCAGAGCCCATGCGCACTGCAGAAGTGAGCTCCATCGGTAAGGAACTGCCGCAACCTTGCGAGGACTCGCGGGGAATGAAGCGACAGAGCGTGAGGAGGGCCAGTAGCTCCGAGGGAGAGAGCGGGGGACCCACGCCTCCCCCCACGATCACACCACACAGAGGACCCCGCCTCCCCCCCCGGCTTGTCCGTGCGAGGACCCTGCTCCCTGACGTCCCTATTTTCGTCGTTCGTCGTCGCTGGTCTTTTGCCCTCGCCTTCCCCCCCCTGGCCTGCCCCCCCCACACCCCTGGCCTGCTCACCCCTCTCCTGCTCCGCACCTGGCTCCCGCTCGTGGCCACAGCCTGCTGCTGTTTCGCCTTCCTCCACGAGCCTCGCGCGATCTCTGGCCCGGCGGCTGCCAAGAGGCAGACTCGCACATGCCCCCTTCCCCCGTGGCCTTCTGCACCTTGTCCGCGGGCCGCATTTTGCCCATGTCCGCGATGGTGCCTGGCAGGTGCCACACCTCACGATAGGGGGGGTCGCTGCTGCGCAGGCCAGGGAGGCCGCACAGACTGAAGCGGGCGAACACATGAGCTGCGGAAGAAACAGAACGATTGGTGAGCGTTTCGGTCGAACAGAACTACCGTGGCAACAAGGAAACCTCGATGCCGCGCAACGGGAAGCGATATTTACAATTGAACACGATTAGAACTGTCCTGGTGGGCTGCACGTCCGCTTGGACTGTCGCCGCAGCTGTGCCCCACTTTGTTAGAACAACTCAAAGCCGCCTTGTTGTAAGACTGCAGGGTACCCCGAACATTGCTATGCTTCGAACGATGCCCACAGAAACCTTCGGCGTTCGTTCCCGAGCCTGGTGCTGTTTGTTACAGCGGCCAGCCTGAACTTGGCCCGCATGTTGCGTTTGATAAGGCGCCGCTATTGGGTCACTTGGTCATTAATCACCACGCTCTGTCCGGTACGGTCTATCCATAGATGCTCAACACCTGTGGCCAACGTTACGCTGGCTCGTATGCTGTGAGCTAATAGAGCATCGTTGAACGGTTGCTGCTCAATTCCCAATACGCTATATGCTGCTCTTGACTGGCAAATGTTTGATACGTCCTCCGATCGGTCGTTGCCGTGAGCCTTTGTTCCAATGGCCAACCTGACCTCGGCGCGCACGTTGCGTTTGACAGGACGTACGTAATCGGTCGCTGTGCGTTACTTCATGCTATTGTCAGCCATGTCCGATTCGGAACAAGAGTACGTTGTGTTACGCTGCGCTGCATGCTGTCATTTCTAGCGAGGTGTTACAGTACTTCAGGTGCTGCAACGTCATGCTACGTTCACCCGCACGACCATGATGTACGAATCACCAATGCGATGTGATGCACTATCTAGCATACTATGTTCGTGTGCGGTCGGAAACAAGTTCCCCTAGTCTGATATTGCAGTAATGTTGGCTCTCTGACTGACTGTTCTGTAATTGTAATGACAGGGCAATCGTATCACGGTAGTGTATTACGGTTGTGTTGTGTTACACTCTGGTACGTGCTTCCATGATTGAATATTGTGTTATGGATGTTCGGTGTGTGGCTAGCATTGGCTGTGCTATGCTTGTCAGAAGGAATACCTCCCATTCAACTGAGAAATCGTATGTAACATGTTCGTCATGCACTATTGGGCTGAATTATGGCACGGCGTGGTCTGCCACGGCTCTCGTCGAATACTGCGTATCATGCTATGTAAACGTATGAACATTGCACGACTGGCAACACAAAATGAGAAACGCTGCTATGTTCTGTTATGGAACGTTCTACTATAGAGAGCCCCACTCTGCAACCGCATGACTTATGTGCAAAATGATAGTGTGTCATGATGCGGAATGGTATGGAATGCTACACAATTCAGTACGAGTGTGTTTCATTGGATGGTGTGCATGCAATGGTCTGGTAAGTGTATGATGCCATGTCCTGTTGTGTTCTGGCATTCGTACAAACAGATGTTGAACTAGTCTACGGTATAGCAGTGTCGTTGCTACATTGGTAGCACAAGTAGAATGCGTATGACATCGCATGTGTTGCTCGGTCAAAGTATGGTATGCTTCCTCTGTCACACTATGGTGTTCTATATTGAATACGATGTGTTGTGTGATGCTGTGCTATGATATGCTACGTTCTGCCAGCTGGTGAAATGTCATGCTCTATCAGGGTATGTGTAATGTGTTTTTGTATGCTCGATTCAGTGTAAAATGATATGTGCTGCCATGAAATTCCGTCGCAATTGTGTCGGAATTTCTTTGGTGTAACAGATATGTTGTCGTAGCGGTCGCAATATCATGTTATGTCGTGCTCTTCTTGCCAAACTATGACATGACCCATTCTGAACGATATGACGTGTTCTGGTCGTTTGTGTCATGTCCTGCGAATAGGTGCTATGTGATCATACTTCTTGTGATCGTGTGGTATGCTAAGGTATGCAATGCAATGATGTGTTATGTTATGACCTGGCCATTCCAATATGTTATGTGGTGGTATACTCTGTCATGCTGTGTCCTGTCATCGTACACGTCGGTGGGAAGAAGTGGGTAGAGATATGAAGTAGGAAGGCGTTGGAAATAGACTGGGTGCCCACCCGCTCGCTGAAGACGAAGACAGAGGCAATCGCACTCGATTCTTGCGAGGGAGGAAGGCGCCGAAAAAGGATCGGGAGCTGGACATCCCAGGGCAACTACCTGCTTCCAACGGCCAGCGCGTATGTTCCGTGTGACCTATGTGGCCGTTTTGTGCTGTTCTTGATGCCGCTGCTCCCCGCCTCGCTTTGCTCCTGCGCCGCGCCGCCTGGACGGCCTGACGCCTCCGCCTCGGAGCTCTCTGGCATGCAGGGTGTCGTCATTCGGCAGAGGGAAACAACTTGTGAACACCCCCCCTGCCCCCCAAAGTTAAAGTTAGCACGCGCGGGGGAGACTGCGGTCGAGGTGCCACTCGTCAGACCCACCTCAAACTTTGAACACTGGGGGGAGGGGGAGGCGTTGACCGATGAATGGCATGAATGTTCGCTATTTTTGTTCCGAGGCCTCTTCGTCGCACACGCAGGGATTCCCCGGGAACCTCTGGGGTCAGGCGACCGCGGTACGGTGCCGTCACTCGTCGAGGGCGCGGGGCGGGAGACGCGCGGGGATTCTCCGGATCCCGTGCGGTCTGGCGACACCGCGGTATATGCACCGGTGGGCAGGCGGGAGGTCTTCGCAAGATTTCGCAACCCCGCCCGCCCTGTCCGGTGGGGAGCAAGAAAAGGCATCACTCATACACCGTCTGGCGTCTCGCAGTTGCACCAAGCATGCTCTACCTTCACACTGGAGGGGTACGCATCCAGCAAATGTGAATGTGAAAAAACGATCGCCCAATCTTCAATTGGAACGCATGTGCGGGAAACCACGAGAAACACTCATCTGAACTATCTGCCCGTGTCGGAGACCATTATCTTGGACTGCTCCGGGTTGTTGTTGTAAGATTCCTGTACCTCTTCAACCTCCGCTTCAATCAAACTTTCCGGGCACGACTCCGTGGTACCCGCGAATGCCGTCTGCGGAAGGCCACCGAGCACTAATGAAGGACTCTGGAATCTGAATTAATTACTGTCGTGTTGCCCTGGTTCGGTAACCTGGGGACCCTCAAGGATCCAACCCCCTCGTGGAATTTTCAAGATGTACCGAGGGCTCCAATAGTGTGTGTTCGACCATACTGTAACGGCTTCACATCAGGGGATGTCGGCCTACTGTTGTCTCCCTCCTCCTGGCGTGGCATGTCTGACTGCTGCTGATCGTCCTGTGCTTTTTCGCAGCTCCCTCGCCTCCCCTCTCCGTCAAATGTCACACCCGCACGGGCATGCCTTCGACATGTGCCCAGGCTCGTCCGGCGGCACGGCGCTGCCATCTGCGATGCCGACGATCACCTGGCGGGCACAGGCGAGTGAGGGGGGAGAAAGGCGCAAAGGAACAGACGAGATGGACAAGGAGAAGGCGGGCACGGAGACGGAAGGGCAGGTGCAACAGCAGGGGCAGAGAAGGGGGGTTGGGGGAGGAGGAGCAATGTTGTTTATCTGAGACCCACGACCCACACCGCCTGAATACATGAAGCGCGCAACCGGCGACTGCAATGGAGGGAAGTGCAGCCGTGAACGCTCACACCTCAGAAGCCTCCCTGACACCGACCGCGACGAAGACAGGAGGAACAGTACGCGGGGGTACAGGAACAAAAGGGGGAAGTGGAGACGCAGAGGAAGGGAAGGAGGAGGAATAGTATACGGAGCATCGGATCAAGCAAGCCGAACAAGTCAGCGCGCCCCGCCCACTCCAACCCTCCCCACCCGAACCGTACAAGCCATCGGGGCACAATTTGTATGTGTGGATTGAAACGCGCCTCTACCTGGCGATACCTGGCGATTCCTGCTTTCCTGCTTTCCTGAAGGCGCTCGCGCGTGCTCCACGATTTCTGCTTCTGGGACCCTGTCATTGCCCCTTCTTGTGGACATCGAAAAAGACATCCGCCACGACTGGTCCAGCGGGTGGAGTCGAGGGTACTAGAGACCTACGTCGTGGAAGAAGTCACGGCGTCGGAGTCACAGTTCCCTTCACTGCGTGGGAAGATGGTGCATCGTACCGTACTCTGCTTGTTGCACTTCTTGGAAGAATGACGGCAAGCGGGGCCGGTGACAAGAGTGGACTGCGTGCTCATGGTGTTCTTCTTCCCCTTGCGACCCCGTTTCTGCTCTGCTCTTCTCGACCCCCTCTCTCGCCCTCCTTCTCCTTTTCTCTCTCTCTCTCTCTTTTCCTCTCTCTCTCTCTCGACAGTGCCTGCCAATAACCTGAAAGCGGTAGCAACTAGCGCTGTGAAAATTACCTTCAGCCCCGAGCCTGTCCTTGGCGGACTGAAGTCATTCATGAATGGATTCGCCCCCTTCTTGATCTCAAGCCCATCAAAGACTGTGCTTTCGTGGATGCCCCCCTCCCAATCCGACCAACCACCCTCCCCCTGGCAGGGATACATCCGCTATGGCCACCCATCCACCCTTTGTTCTGGCCAAAGTGCCTCCGTAAGAACCTTCCTACATAGAATGGAGCAGCTAAGTGGAGAGAGATGCACACGAGAAGAGCTCGCAGGAGCCTCCTCGAGCGGATCGAACTCGTTCCAAGCCCAAACAACCCGCTGGCCCGCAGCGGATGAGAACCTCCTGCAAGCCTGAACAGGCGAAGATAGCAACATGCAAGGGAATGCGAACACAACCATGAAGCATAACATCACATGGGCATATGCAACATCACATGCAAGAGATGGCAACACATGAAACGACTATCATAAACCAGTACACAAAAAAACGCTACCACATCAAATGCTAAACCAGAGAATGCGAACGACAAATGAGCAAAGGAGCGTCGATCTTAAGTTGCAATGGGCATGTGGATGAATTATGAAAATGAATATTAAACCTGCGCATGGCAGGCAGTGCGAAGGGCACAGGAACTTGCGAAGGGATGAATAGTGGAAATGAAGATACGGAAGCAACGGGCATGTGGAAAGGATGGGCACAGGAAGGCGGAAAGAGCAAGGCGGAAGATCACACGGACAACCATGAGAACGGCAGTGACACTGGGAGGTGGACAGGACAGGACAGGACATCCGCATGAGGGGGTCAACGTCAAAGCGCCCGCTGAGGTGCAGCTGTAGAGCGTGTGCGCAGTTCCCCTGCGTGTGCGTTGTGCAGCGAGAGCTCGGCAGCCCCTCGACCCCTTCCCGAGGGAAGGGCCAAGGCGAGGAGGAGGACCATGCACGCCGAGCAGATTCTGCACTGCAATTCTTCTGAGGGCCCCCCACCCGCCCTCTCGGGAAGCACGCGCACCTGCGCTGCGCTGCACTGCACTGCAGTCCTGCACCGCAGATCCTGCACCTCTCGGGAAACGCCGAGCAGATCCTGCACTGCAACCCTCTGCGCCCGACCCCCCCCCGCCCCCTCGGGAAGCGCACGCGCACCTGCGCGCCTCGCCCCCCCCTCGCCGCGAGTAGGAAGGCACCAACTATACACCAACACCGATCCTGGCCAGGATCACCTCGGGCCCAGGATCGGTGTATACGCCCTCCTGCCTTGCGCAAGAAGGCATATACACCGATCCTGGGCCCAGGGTGATCCTGGGCCAGGATCGGTGTTGGTGTATAGTTGGTGCCCTCCGAGCGAGGCCACGGCGCCTCGCAAGAGAGCGACGGCAGGCCTGCGCTCCCCCCCCGAGGCCCGGCGGATGCCTCAACGACGGCCCGGCGCCGCTCCGAGGCAGGCCACGGTGGGCCCCCCCAAGGCGGCCCGAGAGGGCGGCAAGACGGCCTCCGGGAGGCGATAGGAATTCCCAGGGATCCTCAGGAATTCTTCGGACTCCTGGGGGGATTCCTAGGAATCCTTAGGAATTCTTGGGACTCCTTGGGGATTCCTGGAGATCCTTGGGAATTCCTGGGCATCCTTAAGAATTCCTGGGAATCCTTAGGAATTCCTGGGAATCCTTAGGAATTCCTGGGAATCCTCTTCAGAGGCGTCCGAAGAGAGCCTCCCGAGAGCCTCCCCAGGAGGGCTCGGAAGGCAGAACCGAGGTCGTCGCCGTTTCGAGCTCCCGACGTCCCAACTCGATCCGAGAGGCCACCAGGATTGACCCAAGACGGCCCAAGAGGCCCCAAGGGGGCCCCAAGACGACTCCGAGGGGCTCCAAGACAGCCCAAGAAGCGCCCAAAAAATGCCCAAGAGGACCCAAGAAGGGGCCAAAGAGAGCAAGCACGAGCCGAAAATTCGAGTCATCCAGCCAGGGACGGCTCAGGAGGCCACGGGCCACAAGAGCTCCTAAGATGGCCCCGAGGGGCAACAACAATTGATGAGCCGTCGCTTTTTCAGTGCTCTTAGGGTTCTCGCCTTCTCCAGCTTCCGACGCTCGAAGACAGCCCAAGAGGACCCCAAGCCTCCCCCTGGGACGGCTCAAGGAGGCCCCCTGAGGGAGCTCCAAGACGCCCAGAGGGCTTCAAGACTGCCCAAGATGCGCCGACGACTGCCCAATAGGGCCCCAAGACGGCCCCGAGAAGGGCCCAAGAGTGGGAGCATGAATCCAGCCTTCTAGCCTTCTGCACCAAAAGGCCCCAAGCAGGCCCTCTTAACCTGTGGAAGCATGCGAAGCATGCAGCATGGTTTCCTCCCGAGTCCGCAATGATGTGGAAGAGGTCTGATGTTTGGCGGTGCGCACAAAGGGGTGGAGGGAGGTGGGGGGGCTTCTCAGAAGGAGGCTGCTTCCTAGAAGGCGCCAGCCTCACACCCACAGATAGGGCCCGCGCCTTCGAAGAAGCAGGGGTGCTCCTGCGAAGCCCTCCCCCCTCCCCCCTGCCCCCTCTGCGCGCGGCCGAGCTGTGCAGGGAAAAGCCTGATCTGCGCTGTCTTGGAGGATCCCAGAGGGGCTCTGGGCACGAGGCCGCCCTGTCCTGGCTGGCCTGCGGGGGGGGCGGGGGGCGTCTGAAACCGTGCCGCAGCACGCCTCTGGCTGGGCTTCTGCTCCGCCCCTGGCCCGCACCGTGCTCTCGGCAGTGCTGCGCCGGCCGCCCGCCGCCGCCCTGCCCCTCCCGCCTGCCACGCCGCCCCCTCCTCTGGTCTCCTTCTCACCGCCCCCCCCTCCTGTCGTGGGACGCGCACGTGGCACGCAACGTAGACGTATGTCTAACCGTTCGGGAGGGGAGAGTTGGGAGGGCGTGCGACGTCTCGGATGGGGATGGGGAGATTGTTCTTCTGCAAATGCGTCATACCAAACCGCCCAGGTATGGTATCCCGAACGCGACGACGGGGACCCAAGTGAGGCCACGTCTGATTAGCGCTATTCGGGCTTGGGCTCATTTTGTTCCCGATGAGGTAGACACACTAGTACCATCTGTCCTCCTGAGAGGCGCGCATCCGACCCGATCAGTCTTCATACAAGCATCTGTCAGCACCTCGGACACGGACGTGTGTGATGTGTGGCTCGTGACCGGTTCTGCTCCCCGACGCCTGGCCCCTCGCGCCGCCCCGCAGCCAGCGCGCCAGCATGGGTATCTCGCGCGGGGGCCGCGCGCGGGGGCGCCGCGGGCCGCGCGAGGGCTGCGCGCGCCGCGCGAGGGCTGCGCGCCGCGCCCAGCGGCGCCGCCGGGCGCGCGCGCGCGCGACCCGCTGCCGAGCGGCCTCGCGCGGGCCGGGCGGGGCCGCCGCCGCCGAGGGGGCGCCGAGCCACCGCGGGGCGCCCCCCGCGGCGGTCGCGAGGGCGGGCGGAGGGAGGCTGCGACGGGGGGGGCGGCCAGGGGGCGGCGGAGGAGGCGCGGCGGCGCCGCGGGCGGGGCAGGGCGAGGTCGGGCAGCAGGCGTGCGGGGGGGGTCTCCCGTGAGAACGGCGGGGACACACACACACACACAACCGACGGGGCGGTTCGATCCGAGCAGGACTGGAGGAGGAGGAGGAGGAGGATGCGAGCAAAATTTCGAGCAGGGAAGGTTTCGAGACCGACCGACCAGGCACTCCTTCGCTTCTACCACGGTATGTTATAGAAAAACCAATATTCTAAGAACAGGCACCGTGATCTTAGAGCATGACGCCAATGTCTGAAGACAAGACAGTTCTCATCCAGTAATGTTCTAAGAACCTTTCAGGCAGACCACAAAAGGTTATTAGACAATTTGTTGGTGTGCCTATGGGCAGGCAAGGACGCTTCGCCACAGTTTGAAGGATGCAAGGGCCGCCTTGGAGGGCCATGTCGGCACTTTGCGGGCGGGGCGCGGCCAGCGAAAGCTGCCAAGGATGGGCCGAAGGGGAAGGGTTCAAGGGTTTGTTCTTGGAAATTCGCTCATCCTTGCTATGCGGCCTGACCGCATCACTGTCAGAAACTGACCCCAAAACAGGGCTTGCACTTAGGGGTTATCACGTCTACTCTGGGGACCTTGGCCCGTCTGGCGGTCTGGCGGCTATGGTGTCGCCGTCGCCGCCCCGTCGCCGCCCGTCGTCTGGGCCCGTCTGGCGGTCTGTCGGTCTGAGGGCGATTGCGGCCAGGAACCTGCTGCTCATGAAGAACAACAAGATACGGGCCACTGACGCGCGACCCCGGGGCGAAGAGCTCCCCTGACTTCAGCGGCAGCCGAACGCCTGGTGCTCGCTGTGGCACCAGCCTTCTACACACAGACGCTCTTATCCCTCCTGCTGAGTACAGTCGGGTTTGATCGGAGAGCACAAGCGAGAGGACACGAGACCCTCCCGCGGGGCACACAGCCATAGGAGTGTCAGAAGGCATGGGTCGCGAAGCTCGGGCCACGAGGGTACCCTTGATTTGGCAGGGTCGACCTACTGATGAGTCTCGGCTGTACAGTCGGGGCGTTGACCTAAGGAACCCTAAATCCTAAATCAGGAACGAGGCCCCTGTTTCCCATCATTTACACTTCGGTTCCCCATCGAGAACCTAAGGACAACTGTAGGCAAGCTGTGAAACAATCCAGAAACACCGAGCCCCTCCCCAACGAAAAGGGTCCTTCTTCTAGAGGAAAGAGAACTATGCACATACACCGATTCTGGCCAGGCCCATCCTGAGCCCAGGATCGGTGCATGCGCCCTCCTGCCTTGGCCAGGAAGGCGCATGCGCCGATCCTGGGTCAAGGATGGGCCCTGCCAGGATCGGTGCATGTGCATAGTTCGCTCCGCCCGATCTTCAGCGCCCCGACGGTACGACACCGGATTCGCCCCTCCACGAGGGAGAGGAGAAGAGCGAGGGTGGCGAGGAGGGACAGGGAATGCGAGGAGAAGTAGGAGGAAGGGCCAAAGGCGGTCCAAATGCGGTCCAGATGCAGGAAAAGCTGGTTTCAATGTCCCCGCTCAAGGCTCCCGTGAACGGACATCGAAGATAGCGTGCCGCCCAGAAGCGTGGTGAGCCAGAGCAGGCGGAGCGGCACGCTAAGCATGCCCTACACACGTTGCATGCCATGCCCGGTGCCTCGGCGTCCTGGTCCTCTCTGCCTACGCCCACGCGCTGCGGTGCATGGCTCCGCTGCACCCTGAGACCCGGGCCGGCCCCCCAAGCTCCACGCGGCGCGAGCCCGCGAGTGGGGAAGCCAAAGGGAACGGATACCGCTGGTCCCAGCACCTCTACCCTTGTAGATGCCATGACTATAGACACTCTCTCAATCCTATCATTGAATTAAGGATGTGCTTGATATGTAATATGTGTAAACCATGTTCTAAACATGCTTCAGGCATGTTTGAAACAGACTTGAAGCATCCTTTAGACATCCGGAAATTATTTGGCAGCACGATTCCTCTCCATTAATCGACTTCCACAACTCTACCCTCTCCCGGGGTGCTTCTGACAAGAATTTCGAAGCGAATTTAGCGGAAGGCGACGAGGGCCTCCGAGGAGGCCCAAAGAGGCGAGAACGCGGGAAGGGTGGCAGTATGGGCACCTTTCAACCTCAGAAAAAAGAGGAAAGTCCTCCACCCCCAGAGGTCGCCACCCCTTCCCTGGGACCGGCACATCCTGAGCCGTTTTTGGACCGTCCCGAGGGCCAGTGAGGGGCCCCGATCGAGGCCGTGAAAACAGCGGTAGGTCGGGCATGTCTTCCTACTGGCAATTTGGATGGAAAAATTATTTATAATTACGCAGATACCCACAACTATTCAAACATAAAACAAACATCGTCCCAGGATGTTTGTCTTTACTACTTTGGGATGAACCTCCTGTAGATAGAGGCTTCTTAGATGGGGTCGGAATAGATGGGGTCGGAGTATCGCGCCGAATCGGCGATACATCGGCGATGCATCGCCGATGCATCGGCGATGAACTGGCGATGCATCGGCGACGTCGGTGATGCATCGGCGACGTCGCGTGACGAAAATCGGGTTCCGCATCGAGCCGCATCGGCGATGCATCGGCGATGCGGCGCGATCCTCCGACCCCATCTACTCCGACCCCACCTAGGAGGCCTAGAGTAGAGGGACGTGCCCAACTCAGAACAGCGCAGGCGCGGCAGCCCTCGCGCCCGCTCGCGCGCTCGAGCCGCCCCCTCCGCAGAGAGGGGGGGCGCTCTGCCCGCCCCCCCCCCTCTTGCCGTCGATTTCCCCTGCATTTTTCGGTGTCGTGCGTGTTTTTGTTGCTCGATGGTCCAGGACGGTCCTCGATGGTTCTCGCCGAGAAAAAAATGTTTACGTCCGAGCGATGCCCCCCCCCCCCCTGGGCCGCGGCGGGCGGGGGCGCGAGGGCCTCCGCGCAACCCCGAGGGGGGGGGCGGCCCCCGCGGGGCGGAGGGGCCTCGGAGGCGCCCGGGGGCACGCAGAAGGCGCAGATACAAGCCCCAGGAGGCCACCAAAGAGGCCCCGAAGAAGTCCTCCTCCTCCTAGTCCTTCTCCTCCTCCTCCTCCTCCTCCTCCTCCTCCTCCTCCTCCTCTTTCTCTCCTTCTCCTCCTCCTCCTCGTCCTCCTCTCCTCCTCTTTCTCCTACTCCCCCCTCCTCCTCTTTCTCCTCCTCTCCTCCTCCTCCTCCTCGTCCTCCTCCTCCGCCTCTATCTTATCCTCCTCCTCCCCCTCCTCCTCCTCCTCCATCTCCCCCTCCCCCTCCTCCAGGATCGGGGACCTACGGACCCGGGTCAGTCCAAACCCAGGTAAGTCGGGTTTGCAGGATGTTGAAAACTAATGCAGGATACTGCTGGAACCTGCATTCAGGCCCAGGTCAAAGCACCCCTAGACCTGCAGGATCCTGCAAGATCTGGCGCTCTGACTGACCCCCGTTTGAAATGACTCCCGTGTCTTGAGCCACATTCGGATAACTACCCTGACCGAACCGACCTCGATCTTAGGCCTCGGTCTCACTGCACGAAATGCCACAGACATATTTACGCGATCGCCCCCCGACGAGAGCCCCACGCACCGTCAAGGCAAGGTGGCGGCGTGTAGCATCGTAACATCGGGGGCTCGCAATAACGATTTGCACACACACACACACACACACACACACACACACACACAGACACACACACACACGCACACACACACACACACACACGCAAACACACACAGACACGCGCACACGCACACACACGCACCCACTCCCAATGAGGCCGAGGAACAACTCACTGGACGGCGTGCGCATTTGTATCTCTTGTGCCGGGTAAGGGGCCCTTCGTCACAGCCCGATCGCATGTGCCACTGAGCCGGCTCAGCCCAGCTGCCGGACGGGGCGGGCCAGGAGCGGGACGGGGCTGCACTGGGCGGGTCTTCGGCCACGGGTCGCTGCCGCAGGCACCGGTGCACCCGAAGCACTCCCAGGCCGACTCCTCCCCTGCGCGCGAGCGCGCCGCCGCGCGCACCTGCGTGTCGCGCGTGGTGCCCTGCTCGAAGCCGAAGCGGAAGACGAAGTACCTCCGCGCGGCGAGGCGAGGCGCTGGCCCAGGGGGCGGCGGGGCTTCGCCGAGGCGGCCGCGGGCGCGGGAGGGCAGGGGCCTCCGGAGAGGCGAAGTCAACAAGGCGAGGCGAGGAGAAAACGAGAAGAGATCGGGCGAGCACAAATCCGGGTGGGAATACTTCGGGGGAGGGTACGTTCGAGGATCTCTGAGATACGGCGGCTCTGGAGGATGTCTCGGCGCCGCGGCCTCCTCAGAGCGACCTCTGGCCATCGCTCGGACGTCCATTCCCTGTGTTTTTTCAGTTTCGTGCGTGGTTTTCGCCAAATGATCAAGGATGCTCCTCGATGGTCCTCGCCGAAGGAAAAATGCACACGTCCGAGCGATGCCAGGACCTGGAACGCTCTGAGAGCGTGCCAGAACGCTCTGGAGAGGATTTGCCCTCGTACTAGCCCGTCCGAGTCCAGGCGTAGGGAAGTCCGCATGGAGACCGAGCACTCCGCAGGGACTTATTCCGCATGGACTTGGCATTCTCCGAGGGTCACCGATGGGCCAGCGATGGGCGAGGGCCGGCGAGGGGCTAACGAAGGGAAACAGCGAGAGGTCCACCGATGGAATGCGCAAGCGCGGTGACGACCAGGACCAACGATGGGCAGATGTCCACTCGGGATCTGTGTGCGG